AAAGCCAGTTATGAATCGATCTATCTCAGTGCTTCAAGGCTTTACTTCCTTAATTTTTCTTTATTAGTAACTCTTGAATCCCATTCTTGCATTGGCACTACAGTGGAAGGGTGGTCCCTTGAAATTTTACTTGCAGGAAAAAACATTTATCTATTAAATATAACCTAACTTGTTGCTGATGTTGTACTTGGACAATATAAAGTTTAAATACTATGATTCTGGAAAACTTCCATGGGGTAGCAGGAAAGCAACGCTTCCTTGGGGATTGGCATTTAACTTGAGTAATAATGTGTGGCAATGTGCAGAGATAAACTGTAGACGCTTTTCAGATAAGTGAAACGGCGTGATCCTTGCTCTGAAAATTTTCAGTCTAAAGAGAAACAGAGAGCAAGGTAGAGGTACAATAAAAATCAAAATACCAGGAACAACAAGGGTTGCAGAATTTAATTTTTTGTGTGTGTTTGTGTGTTTTGGGGTTTGTTTTTCTTCCCTGCTCTGCATCAGAACATTTCTATATTGTATTTTAAAGATCTTCTCAACTGTAGTTAGGCTCAAATGGAGGATGGGCACAGGACTGCTTAAACTGTTGCTGCATAAATCATTTAATTGTTTTATGGAGTTTCAAGTCATGTGTATCCCTAAAAATTCTGCAGATACCATGAGCAGTGCCTAGTCTTACAGACGTTTGGAGTTACACCAAGTCCAGACCCAAACAATGACCTCTGTAATTGGGAACCTCTAGTCGGTGAGTCTTGTCTGAGTATAGTTGTGCCAATTTTTAAATAGACTAACACCATAGTGACGTGTTTTAGGTACATAACTGTCACTAGGCTTCGATGTTTCAACTTCTGATGCATAATTGTAAGTGAATGTTCATTTAAGGCCTAAGTCTAGCACTGCGTATTTGTTTTGCACAACTTTGAAAAGACCTGTAAGAAATATTTCCTGTCTATCTTTTTCCCTATCTATGTATAAAAAAGGCACCGAAGGGGTGCTTATAATGGCAATATTTATTGATGACAGGTTGACCTCAGTGGGCCGCCTTTACCACCTGGAATGAGAACCAGAAAGTGAAACTGACCGCTCTGTGCCAGGCCTGCACCGGCCTTTGGAGCCGAGAAAGGGCCGGAACTTTTTTCACAAGTGCTTGGTTTGATGGTGATATTAGTTAAATGCTGTAATTTAAAAAAAAAAAGAAAAAGAAAAAAATCTCAGTAACTGTTTAATCTGTCATTCATTCTACATGCCATATTGTATAAAATGATAGGTCATTACTGCTGCTGGTAATCATTGGACCTAAACATTCCTCTCTGTGGTGAGATCAGTTACTAGCTTTTTGAAGATTCCTGCTAGCATTGCTTTTCAGTAGTATATGTTGGGGTTTTTTTAAACTTGGATTTTATCTGTGGATTTTAATGACTACGGAAATACCTGGGGATCTAGGCATTCCCTTTTGAAAAACCAAAAGCTTTCTGACATTGTTAGTTTGTATTCTGACGTGTTGACTTAGAAAGGCTGAGGGTTTAGGGACCTCTCTAGCTAAAGCTGGGGTGTTACTATGCAATCCTTATTCAGATGTATAGGCATTTAGTGATCCTTTTAAATGTAAATATTGCTTTTCATCATTTCAAAATTTCAGGTAGGCATCGAGTATGTGTTGTAATAATTACTGTGCGTTTCTGGGTTCTTATTAAATTACTTGAGTATTACTTCGCTAAGTAAGTGCTTCTGACATAATGTGTTGATGTCTTGCTAGATGAGTTGTTATTTATTCCACAAATATTGGACTGACAGCTGTTACTAAAAGCTTACGCTATCGGGACCTCCCTTTATACCTTTTTTCCCCCAGTTCCTTCTCACATGCATACTTTAAATGGTTAGCTGAATTAGCAAGTAAGTTTTATCTTAAAATTTCAGCGCATATTTTAAACCAGATTGAATAATATCCATCCCAGATGTCTACTAGACTGGTTTTTTTATACTCAGGCTAACTGGATTTAACAAATAGTTTAAACTATTAACTTCCTTGCCTTAACATCTTCTAGTCTTTGCCTGTGGCAAAGAGATACTTTTCATTGACAAAACCAGCAATTTTTTTTTTTCTGGCTCTTAACTCCAGTGATCTTAACCTGCTGTGTTTTTATCACCTTGGTGTAATAAAAGATGCAATCTCTCTTTGCAAGCTGGTAGTTATTAAGCATTGCACATCAGTGCTGTTGACAGTTCTAAAGAAAAGCCTAAGTTGATCCAAATGGGGTGAATGATGAGTGTAGAGTGAGGAGAATGGCAGATGCAAGAGCAGTTTGATGTTTCTGCCCTTGTGAGCTTCTGTGGTTCCGTTGGGAAGACTTGCAAGTTTCTATCTTCAGTAACATTGGTGTAGATATTCCTTCTTTGCTCCACCCTTCTCCTTGCCCTGCAAAATAACATAAAGCAAGCTAAACAGTCTTCTCTTGTTTTCTTCTGCTGTAGTGATTTGGGGTTTTGATACAAATACCACTAGTCCTGTTCACCAGGTAGTGAGAGCCTAGCAGAATTTACTTTCCAGCTGAAAACATAGGGTATAGTGCTTAGAAAGAAGGACATAGACCGTGATTTTCATTATTCTTTTATCTGACTGTGTTACATTTTCAGTACCTGATTTAGTATGGGTCTCTGACTGAACTAAGCAAGACGAAGCAGTATATGACCAACTTACTACAAGGTGGCAATATTGCAATTTCCATCTTGCTTGTTAGATAAGTGATGTCAGAAACCATTGTTTACAAAGCTGCTAGAACAAAATATGTGGCAATTTTACTTTTTTTCTCTCCCTGTTTACACTTTTAGAGGGAAAAACCCTAATATGTGATACTTACACCAAATCAAACAGCTTATTTGGTAACTTTATTGTTCTTCAGATGCTTGCCAGAATAAAATGAGTGTTTTTGTGTGTGAGGTGGGTCAGAAGGCAATCGTCAGAAAGACTACCTGTTGGAACAGGAATTTGAGTCACTGGATGGTACACTATAACAAGCCGTATTCCTAAATTGGTGTTTTACCATATTCGGACTGCAAGCGAGCGAGCAGTGCTCTGTAGCACGTTGCTGTTGTACTTTGTTCCACTCACACATACTCTGTAGTTTGGATGGAATTCAGCCTGTAGAAATCTAATGGCTGGTCGTGCCTTCCGTTTGTTTGCTTATTTGTTTTTTTTTTTGTTGTTGTTGAGGAGTTGGGGGTTTTGGAGTTTTTTATGAGGCTTGATGTAGGGTTGAAGTAAAATAATTATGCTCCTTCATCTTTTGAAGGCTGCTGCTGTAAACTATGAATGTACCTGTACAGGAGGGCAACTTATAATTGATTTCAAATGGATCAACAGCCAGAACGCAACAATGATTTTTGGGGTGTCTTTCAACTAAACAGTCTCATCAGCAATGCATGATATTAATCACAAAGTGCAGTTCAGTTATGGGAACTGAATGTGAAATTCAGCAGTCGTGCTCTGCAGGGCAGGAGAGGGGAAGGGCATTGTGGTTCGTGTGCTGGACAGAGCTTGTGTTGACTTCTCTTTGCGGCGGCCCTCACGTCTGTCATGCTGGGCAGGTCACTTAATCTATCCCTTGCTTGACTTTTCTAGTGCTAAAAGTGAGCTCACATGATGATTACTACAAAATCAAATTCATCATTGGCTTTGGGTCAGAGGGATTGTAAACAGTATGTGTGGAGGGGTGACTGAATCTCTGGTGCGTTTTTCAGCTGTGCCTCCTCTTCCCATTGCATGTCAGCTGTAAGAGGTGGATGTTCGGAGTCAGAATTTGAGGCGTTACCAGCTAGAATTGAAATAAAACTCAATTATGTAGCTGTCTTGGTTCTCTTGAATAGCTGTATTACAGGGCAGTTTTGTCTTGTCGATAAAGTAGTTGGGACAGGTGCTGAGAAGGTAGCCAACAATTACTTATTTTGTTTTTTACGTTCCAGTAAATTAGAGAAACATCTAATTGTGTTGGCAAGTGAGGCATTGACTTCATTAATAGCTGCTTGTATTGTTAACTAATTTTGCCTAGAATTGGCCATTGCATTTGCACTGTTAATGATACCTTGTTACTTGTGCTAGTTTCAGTTTGGTTAGAGAGCAGAGAAGGTGCTGATGAGGTAAAAAAGGTATGGGGCGGTGCTCATTTGCTGCCCAAAAACCTGGGTTGGGTGAAATGCTTATCTTCTTCCATGGTTGTGCGTAGTGATACAGTTAAGTACTGTAACAGCTCTCTTGCATCTTGTTCAGAGCATCAAACTAACTAACTGAGCGAGCTCCTAGAAGCCCCTGGTGAAAACTTAAAATGCTTTAGAAATAGGGAACACATGGCAAAACAAAAATCTTGAGGAGAAGGTATGAGAGCAAGCATGATTACATTGAGCTGTGAGAAGCAGAAATTTAAAAAAGAGCAGTTAGGAAATATTTATCTAATTCATGATAATATTTGTGTACTTGTTTTGTACCTGGAATCCTAGTCTTAAATATCACAGCTTTGAGACAGTGTTAGGGAGGCAGCTCTGGCTTAAAGTTCAGGGTGATGCATTATTTAAATGTGTCTTTAGTCTTGGGGTGCAGGTACTGCTTTAAAATAGTGTTTTCACTAGTACAGTTGTAATAATGATAGATGTGTAGTTTTAATAATGAAAGAACATGTAGCATAGGTTAAGATGGCTCTTCCTCACTGCAGTCATGAGCCATAACTGAGTACTACCTGTCAAAAAACACTTTCAAATTCTGAGAATATAATCCAGTCTATTATAATAACTCCTTAGGAAAATGCTAGAATATACTGTGTGTTCATTTCTGACTTCAAAGGTATAGGTGGCTTATTTATGAGAGTTTTCTTGGGATGTTTTTGGGCTACAAATCCTGCACTGGAAGCAAAGATATGGCACTTTCTTGTTACTTGAAGAAAGCTTTTGTATCTCTGAGATTATGAATTGCTAATTTCCACCCCCACCCCACCCCCCCTGCTTTTTAACAGGAACAGGAAGGTGGTCGATTACTCCCAGTTTCAGGAATCAGATGATGCTGGTAAATAACTTTTTTTCTTAACAATATAATATTCTTGAGCTAGAGCAGTTCATTTATTGCTTTGCACATTAATTGTTTTGCTTCTGGTCATATCTTTAACTTAAATTCTAAGGAGTTTCTGCTCTTCACAGTCTCTGAACTGTTAATAAGTATTTTAAAATATAATGATTTTCATATGTTTTGTATTAAACAAACAATGGTGATAGGAATCTTATTATTTAATGCTTGTATTGTTGTAGTGCCTTGAGGCTGTTGGCAGCAAGTGTCTTCTTCCTTGGTCTATGTTATGTTCTGTGGCAGAATCTCCCTGATGCCACTTTTTTCTACAGTAAAATATGTTTTCAATTTATTTTAGCGGATTCTAGTTAATCTTGTAATGTCAGGCATTTTTGTGAATTGCATCTAAAAAAAAAAATCTTTGTATGTTCTATATGAATTAACAAAATATTTCTGGGAGCCATATGGAATATGTTTTGTGTTCTTAGAAAATAGACATACTGCTACTGTTTGCTAAGTGAGATTGCATTGATAATTAATGGAAACAAATATGCATAGTTCTTAATTGCAGTCCTGTTACTCATATTGTATAAGGTATTGTGTAATAGTTGTAAAAAGTTACATTGTAAATTACTATATAATGACATACTTTTTCCCATCATAGGACAGTAAATAAAGTGTTTGCTGTTAAAAGCACATAGAAATATGTATAGATGTTAACTTTTAATAGGTTTATATATTAACTGTGTTTCTGACTACCTGTAAAATTAAGATACTGTGTCCTCTTGTGAGGCTTTTAGTATGTTTCCTAATATTTCTGTGTCAGACTTGATTGTACGCGGCATTTTTGTTGTGCTGTTGGCAGAAGAAAAGGTAAATCGCTAGTTTAAGAAAGGACTTTGCTTCTATAAAGTTTTGTTTGAAGCTTTGATTCTTTTTTTTTTTGAAGGGCTTCTTTTTGATGTGCATGAAATGGTCAGTTTAAGTTATAGCTGAGGAAGTCAGTTTGCTGGGAACTAGGAGTTTGATTCAAAACCATTTTGTACTGTCCCGTCCAGATGAAGATTATGGAAGAGATTCAGGTCCCCCATCCAAGAAAATCCGTTCGTCTCCCCGGGAGGCTAAAAACAAGAGGCGATCTGGGAAGAATTCTCAGGAGGACAGGTAAAAGCAGCACTTCATCTGTTACGAACATGTCTCCAAACCTTGCTGTGTATGTGGGGAGCAGTATCTTCTAAGAGGAACGATTGTAAGTGGAATTCAAAGCCTGCAGTGTAATGTCCAGAGCCTCTCCATCACAAGGCTTGCATAACCAGCTTGGACATTGAGGTGGTTCTTTCTTATTCAAGTAGACAGACAAATCATGTGTAAAGTACTTGTTACTAGTACCTCACCATTAAAATAGCTTTCCAGAGCTAGACAGTTGGAATGGGAAGGAATATGATCCAAGTTACAAAAATTGGCAACTAATACAATTATTCAGGTAAGTTAGTGGCAAGATGCATTTCATTTTCCCATTTTTATTTGTATAATCAGAGCATTCCTGTGGTTAAAGATTAAATGGGACAGTATAGTAACAGTTAGGAGTATGGGTCATTTGTTAGTTTTGTGGTTCTTTGTTTCTGAATTAGACAAAACAGGAAATAAGAAACAAAGTAACTTGTTTTGATAACTGAGTTGCTCCAGCAGTGTGAAAGGACTCAGTTCTAAGTGATGCTCTGTTGAACAGTGAAAGTCTTTCCTGTAGAGCGAAGGTATCTTCCTTTCACAATAACTGTGGTCCTCAAATGGTTGTCCTGAGACCTATTGGCTGCTTTCAGGACAGACATCAGCTTCGGGGATGGAGGTTCTGCCAGCTGGTTCTTATTCTATAAGCCCAAGATGTCTCTTTGTTCTGTTGCACTGTTTGCTGGAATATAGATAACTTACCCGCAGGTATGCTTAAGAAGCTTCCCCATCATGCTCCTGCTCCGTAAGTTGGAAGCTGAATGTAGGCATGGGAATATTTGCATGGTCCACCTGTTATTGTGAACTGAGAGGGAGAGGCTATTTTCAAATGCCTGTAATTCCTGAAATCAAAGATTTAGCGGGTATGACATACACATAGGAGTGTTCTCACATACTAAGAAATCCCTAAAGCTAATAGGACATAAAGGTAAATTATTTAGTTGCTTTGGGGGCTGCCTAGCCGAATTTCTTTGTATCGCAAATATTGCAGAGGGCTTGCATGTAAAACAAACTCATGCATTTAAGTGTTTGAAATCCACAGTTGTCTGGATAAGACTGAAAACATATGGGCTGGAGGGCTGTAATGTGACAAGTTATCTAAACTATTAGAGTTCTTGAGAAATGTTGTGTGTCAGCTCCAGCTGCCAAATTTGAAAGTAGCAAAGGTTTGATCTATTGTATTTCTTGACCTTGGCAAAATCTGCAGTCCAGCCATTCCTGAAGCATATGTTGTACATCAGTGGTCCTCAACAGAGTATTCACTGTTCCTGTTTAAAACACTTGTTTATTCTCTGATTGGAGTGCATGTTGTTACATGCTGGAAGGAAAACCCTCTCCAGACAGTGGTAATGACTAACGATGGGGGTTTGGATAAGAACAGAACATTAGTACCTCCTTGATAGGGGTCCCTCTGATGAGGATTGAAACCACTAGAAGGGAGTGGTGAAATTCCATCAGAGATCAGATCATTTGAGAGACCAAACTGTAGAGATCATTGTAGACCAAATATGTGCTAGTTAAGTGCTGTGCAGCAATGTACACACAGAATGAAGGAGTCCAAAGAAAACAATGACATAAAGACAAGTGATGACTATAAATCTATTGAGAATAAAACTTTATTCCATTTATAGACTGTTGTGCATTAGCATGTAAAACTTCAAAATTCTCACTGTAAAATAGAAGACACTTGAATTATTGGTAGCTTTCAGCGTGAAGTGCATGGTTCATCTCAACCTTATTATTTCCTGATTGGTTCATTTGATTCCATGTAAGTTTGTATGTGGTGCAGAGTTTGAACATTATCTTTCCAACTGTGATAACTACATAAACAGCTGAGTAATCCTGAAGTATAATGTGGTAATGTCCAGGAAAAGTGCGTATTCCCAGCCTAGAGATTAGTTTGCACTCTGAAAATTGATGTTTTCCATACAGCAGTGACTGAAATTGAAATTAAAACATCAGTCAAACCCTGTCTTTCCCTCATTTTCAGTGAGGATTCAGAAGAAAAAGATGTGAAGACTAAGAAAGATGATTCGCACTCAGCAGGTAACTAACTACATTGTACTGATAGAGTATTTTCAAAAGAAAGCCCAGTTTGTAAGAGTTACAGGAGTAGGATTTGACATAGGAAAGAAATGGTTCTGACTAGAGAAGCATTCACTTTCCTAATACACTTATCTTAAGTTGGATGCTGCCTCTACTGCTGCTACTTCCGGCCCTGGTTTGGGATAACTAATATTTTTTGTGTGTAATATGATGCTTCCGTAAAGTTTGTCTTCATGGGCAGATAGATGCATGTTAATTTCTTTTCTGTAGTTCTTGTCCATAATTCAGAATGGTACAAGAAACTTCATATTTGTACCTTTTCCTTCCAGATGAAGATTTTGGCAGCGAAGATGATGACTTAGGAGCAGATGATGGCAAAGCTGACAGTGATTATGAGAGCTCTCAAAAAAGCAAAAAAGGAAAAAAGGCTAAACCAGAAAAGAATAAGAGAGCAGCCTCCAAATCCAGGAAAAGGCCTGCAGGTAAAAAAAGAAAAAGAGTTGCTAGTCTCTGCAGTGAAAGATATTGCACAAGATCATTGTTGGGGGACTACAGAAACACGCTTATTAGGTTGAATGTGACTGTATTTTCCTCACGGCTCAGTTATTCAGTGAGTGTCTTGATGAACTTTCTTGTGAATGACTTGATCTTTGTCTTGCCTACATGCTACCTCAAGACAGTTAGGTGGTCTGTATTCTGTTTCTTCATTATAACTTGATGACTTTTGCTGCAGAAGACAGTGAGGACGAGAAAGAAGACCACAAAAATGTGCGTCAGCAACGACAGGCAGCATCCAAAGCAGCTTCTAAACAACGAGAGATGCTCATGGATGATGTGGGTAGTGAGGAGGAAGAAGAAGAGGATGATGAGGCACAGTTCCAGGAGAGTGAGTAAATGGGATTGTAAAAAGTCAACATCAATGTGACGTGAATATAGGACCAGCCATGAGTTTATGGGTGTGGTCAGATAGCAAAAGGAACACAGTTTGCTTTTTGAACCAGCCATGAGTTTATGGGTGTGGCCAGACAGCAAAAGGAACACAGTTTGCTTTTTGTCCGTAACAGTGAAGACATAAGTTGTCCTTCTTGGTAACTTATTTGATACTGCATATCTGTCCAATGGACCAAGCTTACATTTTTCACATCTAGAATCTTTGGAGTTTGCAGCAAAGATATATGTCTTCAGAAGCAGCCCTAAAGGCTTATTGTCAAGTTCTTAGTGCGCTTTGCTGCTTCTTGCTATCCCATTGGTTCTGAGGCATTGATGCTACTTTCAGATGGTGTAAAAGTGCTTTATCCTTGATTAATCAAAGTAGGAAGAGTTGGGTTCAGCTGGTAATGAACAGCAGTAAGTTCCTGAAATACTGAATGATAACATGATTTCAGAATGGAGTAAGAGTATCATTGAAAAGATTACTCAACTTAGTGCTCTCAAGAGATTCTCTTTATTTTGAGATGGGCTACTTATTAAGGAGATGGAGCATGTTTTGAGGACCTTGAAACACTTGTGTGTTTCATCATACTCTTACTTTATCTACCAGTGTAAAATCTTCTGCTACATCAAATTTCTTTAGTGCAGCAGATAGGTAAAAGCTCATAAGGTCACAGCCTTAGCTTCCCATCTCCACAGTTTAACTGGCAGATCTCTCAACTGTATCTTCCGCTCCCTTTCCTTTTTTCCAAAAACTTAAATTTCTTTGTGCTTTCAGCAGATTCAGGAAGCGATGAAGACTTTCTCATGGAAGATGATGATGATAGTGACTATGGCAGTTCAAAAAAGAAAAATAAAAAGGTCTCGAAGAAATCCAAGCCAGAGAGGAAAGAAAAGAAAATGCCGAAGCCCCGGCTAAAGGCTACAGGTGAGTCTGTGCAAAGCAAGTTATTCAGTTTGCTTTAGAGGCAAGTATTTTCTTTTTCTACTATAGAAGACTCAATAGAAGTCTTGGGGTCGGTAGGCATTCGCATGTAGTGTTGAAGGGTTAATTCATATAACTTGCTATGATTTAAAGCAGCACTACGAAGTAATAAGGTGGCTTTAATTCTTACTTAAGGAGGGGATTGAGTTACTATCTATGTCTCATTGACAAAAACTGCGTAGACTGCAAAACCTTCCCTACTGAAGTGCTGCAGTCTGACTTCCTATGTATCATAGCCAAATAATATAATTTGTGGCTTTGTTTGGGACTCATGGACTTTGTGATGTTTTCAGGGCGGAGGAAGGTGGAGAAATCTGAACCAAAGAAAAATTTGATGCATTTCTGCAGGAAATCTAAAATCATAATAGCAATGTATGTACTGGTTTGACAAGAGGCTAGCTACTTTAGTTTATGATGTCATATCCAGTAAATTAGTCAGGACTTGAAATAGTTTTAAAATCTTGTTAGCTAACTTTTCAGTTCAGCTTTACTAATACGGAGTGCCAAAACCACCATCCATGTGGTATAGTGAAAGCAAAATGAAATCTGCTACTGAAGTGTCTTGTAAATCCTGTTTGTATAAAGCTGTGTGACTTTTTTTGTCTTATGATCATAACTTTTATGAGCTTTTTCTTTTTTCAGTGACCCCCAGTCCAGTGAAAGGCAAAGGGAAGGCAGGCCGCCCCACAGCTTCCAAGGCAACAAAAGAAAAGACCCCATCCCCCAAAGAAGAGGATGAAGAGCCTGAAAGTCCCCCAGAAAAGAAAAAATCAGCCAGCCCTCCACCAGAGAAGTCAGGGGATGAGGGATCTGAAGATGAAGCACCCTCTGGTGAAGATTAAATGGCAGTTGAGGAAATCTTTGTTTAAAAAAAAAAAAAAGAAAAAAAGAAAAAGGAAAAGAAAACATACTTAGGGGTAGAACACGGTTTTGACTGTGGCTTGACTCATGGGCTTTGAATGCTGTCTTTACTTTCAGCTGTTTAATACAGTGTATCCTTTTTTTAATAAGAGGAAACCCTTATACAGTAATATTTTGAAGTCAATGTTCTCTGTTGGCCATTCTGTTCTCCCTCCCCCACCAAATCTGAAAGCCATTTGAGACAAATTAACAGACCATTTAAATATATATTTTTTTTCAAGGGATACTGCAGTTGTGAAGCAATAAGGTTTGAGACTGATACGTGGAAACCATACTTACAAATCCTTAAGTAGAGTAGATTTCCCAGTGCTGGTAAGAGTTCTTTAAAACTATTATTCTGTATTTGAATATGTGAAAAAAATGAACCTATGCTTTAACAGACTTTTGTTGATACAAGTTCACGCTCAGAAAAAAAATGTAGTTGATATGAATTCCAATTGAGGAAGAGGAAACATAGGGAGGAAACCTGTGTTTCTTGGATTCAGGCACGTTTTTTGTGGAAAGCAATCAAGAAACTTGTAGATGGTCCACTGTCTTTTATTTAGAAAAGATCCTCCAATTAGGATGCAAGATCTTTTGTCTTTGCTGGATAGAATACTATTCTGCTTTAGGCAAATTGCAGTTCATTCTACACAAATTCAGATATACAACCTACAAGCCTCTCACATGCATTGAGTCTAGTTTATTTCTTCTAAGGTTGGCTATAGATGGGCAGAACAGGGAAGAGAAATTGAAAACAGTTTTTAAAACTCTGGTTTCCATTTGGTATTGTGGAAAATGTCCTTGGACATTTTCCAAGGAAAAAAAAAAAAAAAGCTGGGTAGTGTAAAACTCAATTCTTTAGCTTTTGGGGCGAGGGATGTCCTTTTATAAATGTGAAGCAAAGGATTCCTGTAATGCTCTGGTCAGTCTCGGATCCCATGAGTCATGCTTAAGTGTTTCTCTTCTCTCCCGCCATCTGTCCTCAGAAAGGCAATGTAGTCATACCTCTCAGCCTCTCCAGCTAGTGTTGGACAGCAGACTTCCATCGATAGTGAACATCACCCCGATACCACTTCCATTTCTTCATCCTTCCATCCTACAGTGTGGGAGGCTTTCCTCCCACATCGACATGTCTGCTTCTAACTGCTGGTCACCGTTCTGCTCCCGAAGCCTCGGAAGTGCTGAATAGGGAACAGTGTTAAATGACAAAGCTGGGAGGAAGTGGAGTTTGGAAGCAGTGTAGCAGGGCTATCATTTTATAATAAAAGCAGGATGTCCCTCTAAATACAAGACACTTGAGATGTGTGTGGTGGCATTTTAATGTGTTTTTATCAAAGCAGCCATATCCTTTTTTTAAACTTTTAATTAAAGTACACAAGCCTTGGTTTTCAAACCCTAATACAGAGGTTGCTGCCATGTTTGTTGGTGGAAATATTGAAAACTGGACCTGCCATTTTTCTTTTTCCTTAAACCCTTTGTGCTTTCTGTATGTTGCTCACAGTTATCTTATAGCTGGCAAGCTTTGCATCTTTTTTTTTGTCACAGAACTACACGTTTTGTAACCAGCCTCTTGAAGGTAACATAAGGCAGCTAATTAGTTGGATTTCTGGTGCACAGGCTACCAGATTTTTAATCCTGTTTGGATTTTAGAGAGCTTATAGATGTGATACACTAATATGACCAGGAAGGACACTTGGCTGAATGGCATAGGGAGCCTGAAGATGCCGAGCACAGTGTGGAGCCTAAAATGTGGAACGGAATATTAATATGACAGCCGAGTGATTGTCTTGTGTGATTCATAGCCATGGATTTTATTGAGGCTGGTAAATTACTTTACCTTGGCTTATAAAAAATTAAGTTCTCTAACATTCTTTACTATAATGAAACTACTGTTGCCGTTACAATAAAGATGATCGGTGTTTCCATTGTAAATCTTTTTTATTTTTTAAGTGGTTTAATGTTGCAGAACAGCTTAAGGCTGGAGTGAAATATCAGTCTTGAAAAAGAAGCGAATGTAATCCCCTCTCCTCTCCCACCCTCTTCTCACCTTCCAGATCTCTGGAAGAGCAGAGTCTCTTGCATTCCCTCTACTCCTAGTCCAGTGCTACTTGGGTAATACGGGAAAATAAATGGCCAAGTTTTAAAAAACATTTAGATTAAATTTGGGGGTAGCATACACTTTGATGAACGTCTGGTCCACATAGTTGTTCCCCTTCAGTCCAGACTGTTTCAAGCTATTCTTGTCTATTGGGTTCTTAAGGTTTGGGTTTTTTTTTTTTTTTGGTATTACGATGTACAAGGATTACTTAAACGTAGAATACCTCTAGCTGATCTGGTCAAACAGCTGTTTCTTTACACGCTAGACCAGATTTTTTTCTGAACAGTGTCTTTTGTAAGTTCCACTTAAATATATTCTTGGGGGTTTTTTTCTAACACAGTTAACTAAAGTTAAGGTTGTGAAAAATGTTTTCATCGTTCTCAGTTCAGGTTTTGGACTGGATTATTTTATGCCTGGCAATTTTGGCCCTTTATCTTACAAAACTGTTCTGCTTTCTCATATGTTCATCTCTAATGGCTGTTACAGGCTGCATGATGCTTATCTTTGAGTTTGTCACAACCCAAACACTATGTAAATCCTGTACTACTACTGGGATTTTGTAACTTTTTCTATATCTTACTGTTTTGCTGATTTGTGCAAACACTAAGCCCTAACAGTCTCTTGGTTACTCTGTTAGAAATGTGGCAGTTTACATTTTTACAGATAGAAGAAAATTGTGAAGGTTAATACTTTTTTTTTTTTAGTACACAGCATTTTTCAGTAGCAGCAGACTTAACATTTTTAAATGTCCTTTTTAATTAATTTATATTAAGCATTCTGATTTCTTGAAGGAAAGCTGTAAAAATGCCTTTCTTTAGGAGCATGAATAGTTCTTCATGGAACAGAAAGTTTCATTCACAGAAGAAGGCTTTGAAAAGATTGTCTTCTGTTACACAGCTGTAGTTTCGGAGCCTGTGCAGAGAGGTAAATGGATTTATTCCAAAGTTCAGTTAACCTAGTGCCCTGCCCTGGTCTTTTCTCTTAAAATGGTAGTTCATAACTAACATCCATTATCTATCCTTTCGTATGAATGCACACCACCACACTCAGTTTCGCAGTTACATGCCAATAGTACTACACTGCCTTTAACGGGCCACGAGGCTTGATCAGAAAAAACTTGTGATTTCAGTTGGAATTTCATACTAAATTTAGATTATTTCCTTCAGTTTCTGTTTGATCAGCATGAGAATGCCAAACATGTCAAGCTAAATGGGTTTCAGAATGGATTGTGGGTGAGAGCAAGACTTAGAAATGGGGCAGCTGAGAAGCTTTTAATTTTGTTCTAACTTCATCAAAGCAGAAGAGTGTGTGGGGAGAGAAGCAGCACACCCTGGGTGACTTTCGCTAGGGAGCCTCACCGATGCCAGGTAACAGTTCTGAGCGTGCTCCGCTCCCGTGCCACCACACGGCTGCATCCCGCAGGCCATGGACCACCAGGGCAGTGGCAGAAGATGTGCTTGAATTCCTTTTTTCTTTTTTTCTTTTTTTTTTTCCTCCCCCCCTCCGCTGGTGATGGTCACAAAGGTACAATAGACACTGAGGCACCCAGGTTAAGGAGGGAGGGAAGTAAACTGTAACATGCTGGAAGCTTTTGAGCTGTAGAAACTGGTGCTTTGCTTTATGTAATTTGTTTGTGAAGTGTTTATTTTTATAACAGATCATATTGTTGAACACATGGTTCTTAAAAACTACAAACTGATCCATGAGTTTAATATTTGAGAAGTGGATGTTCATCTGTTGGGGGAGGCAGGATATGAAAATGTAAGCAGATGGATATTTAAAGGGACACTGTCACAAAATAGTTGCTGGCATATAGGATATGTTAGTTTGGGGGGACTCACATCTCTATGTGGAAATTATATATTCTATATGTATATGATCAAATATAAAATTTTCCCTGAACTTTGAATATTTTCCTACAGTTTTGGGAGGTTTAAATGCAAGTTCCGCTAATGAAACTAGGAAGCAAAACTATTACGTTCTTATTGTCCAAGATGACTTTTTTTTTTTTAAAGTACTGTGAGGAGTATCAGAGCTCTGAAAGATGACAGTGTCCTTTCGAGACCTCCCCGAATCAAGTGTATCCTCGTTTTAGACTTCCCACTTCAGTAGATGACTGGCATTTGAATGTCTTTTCATTGAACTCTTTATATTAAAAACAAAACACAAATATTTCTAAGTCTAGTCAAGTTCTCACAATGTGCTGACTCTGTATCAACCACTACTGGAAACGACTCTCTAGACTGCCTGCCCCCTTCAGCCGCGGTGAATCGAGTGGGTCCATCGGCCTGAGCATGCTCAGTGTGACTGCAAAACACCATTGTGCATATGCTTTGTATATTGGGGCAAGGGTTTTTTATATATATATTTTGGGAGGGGTAGTGGGTGGGATGGAGAAATACTCAATCAGCTTAAGCCAGAATAATGTGTGTAAAAGCCCCTGAAGTATTTTGTGTGTGAGTGCGCGGGTGTGAGTGCGCGCATGGGAGCGTCTGACATCTTATTCCCTTTGTGTTCTGAAGATTTGTGAGTTTTACTTTTTTTTTTTCCCCTGCAGAAGCAATTGTTACAAAAAATTGTAAATAAGAGCTACATAATTTTTGTTTAACCATGAAATCGTGTCACAGCAAACCCTGAATGATCACTCTGAAGGTAGAGGAGGAGACTCCAGGTAGGGCCTTGGGCCTTTGGCTATCAGCAAGGCATCATTATATGGTATGCAATGAATATTTGTCTCGAGTATTTGCAATCCCCTGTTGAGCTTTTCTAAAAATCGGGCTCTTTGCAGTTCCCCTCCCCATCCCTTTTAATTTTTTTTTGTTTTAAATCTCAAGAGCAGACAGAAAGAGGGGCTGCTGCAAACAGTGCTCCAGTGCTGCTGGCCCACAGTCGGTGTGTGTGTGGACGTGACTGCCATCACTGGGCCCCGCAGGGCTGGCGACTCTTGCAATACCTTGACAATACTGAGATCTACCGCATGGTACTAGGAGTTAAGTCTGAATGTAACATTAATGCTTTATTTAAAATAAAAACAAACTTTTTTTTTAAGGGGTTGAAGTGAACATGACTGTTGACCATGTTCGTGAATTTATAGATGCAAACATTCATTGGTAGAGTTGTGTGATGGTCTTCTGTGCTACTTAATTTTACATATTCCAGTCTCTGTATGTACCTGCAAAGAAAGAAAGAAAAAAAATTAACAAAACCCTGCTTTGCTTTTATTGAAGGGTTCCCAGGACTGCATACCTGCTCCTGAGCTCTGTTTTAAGTATGT